CATTGTGTTAAAACTCATCCAACTGTACTTTTTTGTTTTTTGTGAGGAAGATCAGCCCTGTGCTAACATCTGCCAATCTTCCTCTTTTTTTTTTTTTGTGCTGAGGAAGATTGGCCCTGGGCTAACATCCGTGCCCATCTTCCTCCACTTTATATAGGACGCTGCCACAGCATGGCTTGCCAAGTGGTGTGTCGGTGCGCGCCCGGGATCCGAACCGGTGAACCCCGGGCCGCTGCAGCGGAGCGCGCACACTTAACCGCCTGTGCCACCAGGCCGGCCCCCAACTGTACATTTTAAAAAGGCAAGTTTTCTTGTGTGTAAATTATACCTCAATAAACCTGACTTTAGAAAAATATATTTAATCTGGAGAAAAATACACCTTAAAAATAATTTTTTTAAAAAGGCCCACAGGAGTTGATGTTGCAGAGGAATGGTGAGGAGTCAGTTTGAACCGGGCAGTGAACGTTCCAGAACAGGAATGCTGCACGCCAGAGGTCAGGCTGGAGGCTTCGAGCCGTCGTCGGGGAGTGGAGAGTCAGGGAGGGGTCTTGGGTGAGTGACGGTGAGGCGTGAACCTCGAGGAGCCCTCACCTTGCAGGGAGAGAGGGGAGGACACAAGAGAGAACCAGACGCACCATCAGCCTGGCAGCACCCAAGAGGAGACAGTGTGCGAACTTTAATAGATGAGACAGCACGAGGAGGGCACAGTAGGAAACAGTGAGCAGTGACAGGTTAGTCTTCCTCTCGCCTCTGTTCCTCTCCATAGAAGCTACCAGTGTTTGCAGGCCTGCGTGTCCTGGGAATAGTCTGTACATTCTCTCCTGGACTCGGCTTGTTTTCACTCATGAGGATCTCTCTCGGATTGTTCCGTCAGCACGTGTAGAGCTGCACGTGTAGAGCTGCACGTGTAGAGCTGCTGTAATGTTTTCGGTAGGTGTGGTGTTCTCCGGATACACTGTAATTTATTTAGCCAGGCTGCAGTGGATTCACATTTAGATAGCTTCTGATATATGCTGCTGTTACGAACAATGTTTCAATGAATACTTGTATTAAAAAGTTATTTCTCATTTGTGTGAATATATCTGTTAGATTCTTAAGAGTGGAATTGCTCGGTCAGAGGATTTTTTATTTTGCTATATGTTGTTAACTCCAGCACCACCCTGGATTATACCAATTTACCCCCCCACCCCCCAGTGATCATGCGTGAATAACTATACTTGTTTGCCCGAGACCTGGCCAGCAAAATGTGAAATCAGACTTTGCCTTTGCCAATCTGATAGGAAAAAATGGTATCCTGTAGGAAATTTAATTTGCATTTAGAGGAGGGAATTTTTTAGAAGGGGACATCAAGTCACAAGTGCCAGCTGCTTGAGTCCCTCCATCCGTTCAGACAGCGCCTCTATGTGAATTACCAAAAGGCACCGTTCTTAAAGACACGTGACTGCCATCTGCTAGAAAACCGTTGTGATAACTACGCAAATCCGTGATGACTGAGGTGATGAGCACCCCTGGAGTTGTGTGGACACAGCCTGCTCCACCACAGGTGGCAGTGGAGTGCCAGTGGTTTTGAGAGCCCGGTGGTCTCTGGTGTAACCAGATTGCCTGGAATTAATGCAGTAGAAGCAGCAGCCACAGCACGGGAATTGAAGCTGTTTGACAGTGGAGCGTGAGGGCATTAGCTTGAGGGACAGCCAGAAGAAATGGAAACTCCATGATCCATGGATTATGCACTTGGAACTCAGGTCCCAGGCCACTCTGATATTAGTAATTTGGCCAGCGGGCTCATTAAGCTCTTAGGAAAAGTGAGTCTAGTTAATGAATTAATACAAGATGACATTTTACACTCAGAGCGAAAACGAGACCGGGCACCACTGAGTTATGTAGCATCATAATTTCTCCGGCGGATGTGATTGCTGCTTCTTGCCTGCCAAGCGGGCAGACCTAGAGAGAGCCTGCTTTCCGAGACATAAATGAGACTAAGATCCGCAAGCACTTTACATTGCATTCATTTTTAAAGTGCTCCCTCTTGTATTCTTAAAACCTCGAGTGGTTGCACAGAAGTCGGTGTTTTAAAATCTCTGGACCCATTTGTTGTCTGTGTGAAAATCCGCCACTTTTCTCTTTTGAGAAACATGTCTCGCTGGAAAGGAACTCACTCAGTCCTTATCTCTCCTCCATCCTCCCCCGAAAGGGGCTCTCCCAGCCTCTATTACTGGTCCAGGGAAGTTGGATAATGGAAAGAGTGTGAACACTAAGAATTAGCATTAACTGGTTTGGGATGATGAAAAATTCTGGAGATGGGTGGTGGTGATGGTTGCACAACAGTATGAATGTTCTTAATGCCACTGAACTGTGCACTCATAAATGGTTAAAATGGTAAATTTTATCTTGTGTATATTTTACCACCATAAAAAAGAAAAAAGAACGAGCATTAACTGAATGCAAACCCTTGCCAGACCCTGTGCTTTGCACTTTGTGTATATTGTATTCTACCCTCCCAGTAATGCAAGGAGATGGCTACTGTTATTCACTCAGCACCCCCACCGTTTAAAATGAGACAGCTGAAGCTCGTAAAAGTTAACTAGCCAGAGTGATGGCCCCAAGAGTCGAACCCTCAGCTCTGTGCTGAGATAACAAAATAAGGAGGGTATTTTATTCTAAGCTTGGCATTCTGAAGCATACACACACACATAAGCCCCCACCCAGCTTTTAAGGATCTAAGCTGAGAGCAGACAGAACGCAGCAGAATTGCTGAGTGACAGCTAATTGTCTCCAGAAAAATCCACAGCTGCCTCCTTCCCTTAACTGTCTGCAGTGTGCTTCTGCCCGTCGCCAGGGTCTTATTTGCTTCCTTCTGAACAGTTAATCATTGAAACAGTGACCGACAGGAACTTGGAGAATCTTCGTAGCTTTTAGTCGATATTTGAGTGTGGCTGGAAAGAAAATTAACACAGAGCCTGGAGCTTGAGTTATGTCTCAGATGAGGATTATTTGGGGAATTGGGAAATATTTGTGTCAGGAAAGGAGAGCAGATAGTGTGTGTCACAGCATGTGGTTTTTTGAAGAGGAAATATCTGGGTTCTAGTCGTGACTCCTCTGCTTGCTTCTTACATGGTCTTAGATAAGTCACTTCACCTTTCTGAGTCAATTTGCTCATCTGAGAAACAGGAATAATAAGACATTAATAGCACCTACCTCACCAGGGTGTGTGAATACACAGATTTTTTTTTTCGTCGAGTTGTCTGCGTTTATCGAGTGCCTCCTCTGTGCCAGGCGCCGCTACACACTGGGGACACGGCGATGCACAGAACAGGTGCATGTCCGCTGCTGAGGGGTCGGGAAAGCTTAGCCCAGCTCCAGCACACGGGCCTGAGCAGCCAGTGGTCGCTGCTGCTGCTGCCACTTCATGTCTACGTTTTGGCTCCTGTGGACCCACTGAAACCCCCTCACTGTTTCAGAGGTGGGCAGGCACAGGGCGTGGTCGCCAGGTTTGCTCACTGCACCGCATTTAGATGAGTTTTCCAGCGGGGCCACATCTGTGGGTAGTTGTGGTTCTCCCGCACAGATGAGGCGTCTCCAGCTTTCTACCGAGGGGCTGCTGTGGTTCCTGTGCTGGGCTGGACATTGCCGTTGCTGTCCTGCTGACTGGGAAGCCCCTTACCTGAGTACTGGAAGTGTGTCTCGTTAGTTCATGTGGAGAAGAGGGTGTTGGCAGTATGCAGGGGGGCACGGGTACCAGAGCCACGCCCGAGGACCTCTGAGGAATTGCTTGCAGATGCTGAGCAGGTCTTGTTAGGGGGCTGCAGGGCCGAGTGCTGGGCCAAGGCTGTGAAGTCAGACCCCTGGGCTCACATCACACACGGCTCCTCACCTCCTAACCCTGTGACCCTGGTCAAGGGACCCAGCGTCTCTGAGCTTCCCTGTCCTCATCTTAGAAAGAAAGCAGGTACAGCACCTACTTCCTGGAGTTGCTGTGAGGGGAGTCAATGTGACAAGGCCAGTATTTGTATGTCTTGAACATGCACCCACATGGCACAGTGTGTCTGCTGTTGTTCCACGAGCTTGATAATTATTCCCTCGTTTCATGCTCATGACAGCCCAGTGAGGTGGGGGTTGTTACTCTCGCCATTTTACAGATGAGGAAATTGCAGCACAGAGAGGTGGATCACTTTCCAGAGGGCGCACAGCCAGTAGGTTGAGGGACTGCATTTGAACCTAGTCTGGCTCCAGAGTCCACGATTTCAGCCTGTGCTATGCTGGCTCTTGGTCTTGAAAGCTTGGCATGCAGCCCGGCATAAAATGGCGCTCTGCAGACACAAGGAACCCCAGACACACCGACTGGTCTTCCTCATGTGTGTTATGTTATAAACTTCCAGTGAGAAACTGATTTCTGCCGCGGGAATTCTCACTCCTGTTCCCCGGATATTATATTTCCTGGGGCTGATTTTTTTCAAACAATTTTATTGAGGTATAATTTACATAACATAAAATCACCCATTTTAAGTGTACAATTCAATGAGTTTTAGTAAATTTACCACGTTGTGCAGCCATCGCCATATCCAGTTTAGGACATTCCCATTACCCCAGCAAGATTCCTGATGTCCGTTTTCAGTGAATCCCCGTTCCCACCCCCAGCCCAGGGCAACCGTTAGTCTACTTCTGTCTATAAATGTGCCTTTCCTGGGCGGTTCATATAAATGGAATCGTATAGTATATGGTCTCTTGTGTTTGGCGTATTTTGCTTAGCATAGTGTTTTGAGGTTCATCTGTGTTGTAGCACGTATCAGTACTTTTGATGGCTGATTATATCCCATTGTGCAGATATCGCACATTTTGTTTGTGCATTCACCAGTAGATGGACTTTTGTGTGGTTTCACTTTTTGGCTGTTGTGACTCGAGCTGCTGTGAACATTTGCGTGCATCTCCTGGGGCTGACTCTGGAGCGGAAGGGTGACCCACATTGGTGACCTCTCCTTTCTCTCCCCTCGGGGCTTCCGCAGAGCCAGGCAGCGGGCAGGTGTTTGTGACTTCGGACAACCAGCTGGTGTACTACCCAAGCATCACCTACGCCATCGTCGGCAGCTCTGTCGTCTTCGTGCTGGTGGTGGCCCTGCTGGCGCTGGTCCTGCACCACCAGCGGAAGCGGAACCACCTGGTGACGCTGCCGGTGCACCGGCTGCAGCACCCTGTGCTGCTCTCCCGCCTGGTGGTCCTGGACCACCCCCGCCACTGCAGTGTCACCTACAACGTCAACAACGGTGTCCAGTATGTGGCCAGCCAGGCGGAGCAGAACGCCTCGGAAGTGGGCTCCCCGCCCTCCTACTCAGAGGCCCTGCTGGACCAAAGGTGCGTGCTGGGGCGAAGATGGGGGAGGGAGGTCATGGATGGTGGGAGGGGTGCATGCACGCCCCTGGGTTCCCAGGTCTGGCCGGGAGCCTGGGTTCGGCTGCTGTCGGCAGCAGCGTCTGACGCTCGCAGAGTCCCCACAAGACACCTCACATGTATCATCTCATTTAATCCTCTCAACCACTCTCTGAGGGAGGCTCTGTATTTGCCTCAGTTTTACAGATGGGGAAACTGAGGCTCTGGGATTGTAAGTTACTTGTCTGAGGACGTAGTTAGGATCCTGGCCACCTTGGAGCCCTGCTCCTCCCTGGCAATGCCACACTGGCACGTGATCAGGCCACTGACTAACTGTGGGGCTGCACCTGCTACCGCAGAAGAGTGCCCAGGACACAGTAGAGTTTGCTTAATATTTGTTGAATGAATGGATGGGTGAGGGAGGGAGTGAATGAATGAATGAGTGAGCGAATAAATGAGTTCCTTACCTTGGCTTGGCTTCATCTATAAAATAAAAGGGGTGGAGTAGAACGCTCTCTAGAGCCCTCATTACAAACGGAGTTATATAAAACCCCAACGTGTAAAGTCAAAAGCAGAGTTCTGCAGTAGAAGCAGGTGGTGGACCTGAATCCTCCTGCTCAGGCTTCCTCTCTCGACTTCTTTGGTGACCTCCACGGTATCCCCAAGAACCCATTTTGGAAGTCCCTGGATTAGAGCTATGTGAGTCCCCTTTGGCTCTAGGAATCCCTGCTCGGCGCCCCACATCCTCTGAGCCCAGGGCTCTCCATGTGGCGGGAGGCATTTTGCAGCTGTGTTCCCGGGGTGACTGGGCTCCGCTGGGACCCTCTCCAGTGGCAGCTCTTGTGTTATTTAATCTCTGTCTTCCCTCCTCATAAAAGGTGAATGCAGCTTCAGGGGCGGTGTGTAAGGACATCTTTGCACATAAGTGTAAGAAGGCAGCACCTCACTCACCACTCATAACCTCTTCATTGGGACCATCCAACGTAGAGCGAGGTTAAAATCGCAGAAACTGGAGAGGGGCGGCCTGGGTTCAAATCCCAGCACTGCCGCTTACTAGTTATTTGGGATCCTGTGCGAGTCATTTAATGCCCCCATGCCTCAGTTTCCTCCCCAGTATAGTGGGCGTGAGAGTAATGGCTCCCTCTTAGCTTTCTTGTGAGCCTTAAATAAGGCGACTAACGAAGGTGAGGTGGGTGGCCCAGTGCTCGACTTGCAGTAAGCCTTCAGTCAAGGAGAGCTGAAAATAAAATGTCTTTTCTGTGAAGTTATTTCGTTGCAAGCGGGGTGTCATTATTACCCTTTACTGCAGGTGAGGAGACTGAGGTGTTGAGAGGGTGTCCTCTCACTCCCCCAGGTCCACACAGCCGGGTAGAGCGGGCCTTCAGTAGGAACCCCAAATTCTGTGGACCGTCAGAGGCTCCATCAAAACACCAGGCCAGCCGCTTGGCTGCGGGGCCCCTGATGGAGTGAGCGTCCTTGCCAAGCCACCCAGGACGAGCCGAGGGAGTACTGGCTCTCCTTATTTGGGGCCCACCCAGGGGATGTGGCGTTGGCACTGCCCAGTCGGCCCAGCCAGCCAGAGTGTGCTGACCTTTTTCCATTTCCTTTGCCATGTTGCAAGCCACTGGTTTTCGTAGTCCTCAGACCGCCCTTCTCCTTGGAGGGAGACTGTCATTTCTGGTGTCAGCATCTGCTCATAAACGGGCGGAAGTTGGCACTGCCTGCCTTGCCGTGGCTCCTGATGCATTCTCTTCCCTCCCCTCCCCCGTCCTGCTTTCTCTTTGCAGGCCCGCGTGGTACGACCTGCCTCCGCCCCCCTACTCTTCCGACACGGAGTCTCTGAACCAGGCCGACCTGCCGCCTTACCGCTCCCGGTCCGGGAGCGCCAACAGCGCCAGCTCCCAGGCCGCCAGCAGCCTCCTGAGCATGGAGGATACCGGCCACAGCCCGGGGCAGCCTGGCGCTCAGGAGGGCACTGCTGAGCCCAGGGACTCCGTGCCCAGCCAGGGCTCTGAGGAAGTATAAAATCCAGTTATTCCAAAGTCCATATGGGTTAATCTGCTCTGACTTGTTACCATCCTAACAATGTGCGCTCATGGGAAGCTCCTCAGGGTGCCTCGAGGAGTGGTTTGGGGTGTCAGCTGTCTCTCCATCTCCTCTCCCCCCAGATTTCAGGGATGTTCTTCGGAGGGCGACCTGGCATTTTTCTGGCCTCTCAGTGGACATGATGTACTGTGCATCTTTTCTTCGGGGCCTAGGATCACAGCTTCACTCTTCATGTCATTCTTCTGTTACTGGAATCTTGCTGAATAGATGGCATAAATTGCAGGCAGCAGGATGGAGCAGTATTTAAGTAGTTCTTGAGAAAGCGTTGTTTTTGTGTCATGCTGTATGTTCAGAGGGTGAAGACACTGGACCAGATTCTCTGTGGGCTGCCACCTGATAGCTCCATTTGGGGATTTGGGGTGGAGGATGCTACCAGGAGGCTGTCACTGGATGGCCACCAGAATCCAGGTGGGCCCTGGAGGCTGCCCTGCGCTCTCCTGTCCACGCTCTCAGTTCAGCGGAGGCAGTGGCTACAGAAGACTTCAACCTGAGGGACGCTCTTCAGTCATCAGCAGCGTCATTTTGGTTTTGTGAATGACTCTGAAACTGTCTACTCTGGGTAGATTCTGGCTTTAAAAATTTGCCCGAAAATCCTCATTTTGAGAGCGTTCTCGGCCGTGTATGTCATCAGCCTCATCCCAGAATAGTCAGGGGGCCCTGCAGTGAGTTTATCCAAGTTCTCAGCTCCTAAAATGCAGGCTGCCAAGAGCCTGGGCCTGCTTTGGCCCACAATCCCTTTGGTCCCTGGCTTCTGGATTGTCACCCTCCCAGCTGTGACCTGCCTGTAGCCAAAGGGTGAGGACACAACTTGAGTTGGCCAAAAATCTGATGTGGCCCTTTGTCCTGGGAAGACACACCCAGCCTGCCTCGCACAGTCGTGCAGCTTCAGCGCTAGCCTCCTGAGTGCCCCTAACGCTCGCAAGTCCTTTCAGCCGTGCATCTGAGCTTGAGGATGCTGTGGTTTCTCACACAGGTGAGAACCATATTCAGTGCCTCCCAGCGGAGCTCCCCCCGCCAGGGCCCAAATACCGGTGCCCCAATTTAGGGTTAGGGCCAGGCCCCTCTTAACATCTCGTAGTTTCTCCTCTGAGACATGGACAATAGACAATTTGGAGTCAAGATTTGCCATTCAGACTTTTAAAAAAAAATCTCTTAGAAATGCATTTGAAGCAGTGTGTTTGTTTTTTCCCTTCTAGTTAAGGGACTATTTATATGTGTATAAGAAAGCTGTCTTTTTCGTTGGTTTGTTTTCCATTAGTGAGGTCCAAAGAAAGATGCAAAAGGAGGTGACCCCTTTGTCCTGCGGAGCCCTGATGACAAGTCACTCCAGACTGACCTGTGTGCCGGGCGTTCGTGCGTTGTTGCACTTTGAGTTATTATTTATCAGGTTCTTGAAGGAAGCAGAAAGAGGGATGTCTTTGCTCCCTCGGTTCATAATCTCTGTTGTGCTAGCTTTCCTCTTTCTCTGTGCCCAGCCAGCCACACCCCCTGGGGAAATACCAGCTAGAAACGTGGGCGTTATATGGCAAAAAACCACACGGGGGACAAAACTGGAAGCTGGTGGGGCCACTGGTGGCGGCTCCCCCTCAGGGCTTCTTTCCACAGCAAAGAAAGGTTCAGTGTCCTCTTTGATGCTGATTCAAATGGAGACTGCAAGAGGGGCATGAAGTGGCATTCAGTGAGCCTGTTCTGGAGATTTCTGTTTTTTTAACCAAAATCCAAAGTATGTAACAGGAAAGCTAGCCACTTGGTGATTTTTTTTTAAGGAAACTAGTTGCTTGCATCTTTCATTTTTAAAATAACACTTGAGTTATTTTCTGAGTAATCCAATAAAGAAAGAACTTTTGATGGCCGCCAGAGCGCGTTAGGAACTCTGGCTGAACATTTCATCTCCTGTGAGTCAGAGCAGCTTTATTCCCCCTTTGATGGGCCCCTACTTCTTCCTGGTGCTCTGGAAGTTGTTTAGAGGAAAGGATTCTAACTTTAATTAATCGTGCAGTGAATTAGTCTCACACTTTTCTGCTTCCAGGCATTTTAGGAAAAACAAATGGTCTTAGTAGATAAGGGGAGATGATTAGTGTTGTTTTTTAAAACAAAGGGACATTTTTATTATAGATTTGATTTTTTTAATGGATGTTTTTAGAAATATATAAATAGGACACCAAAGCTGCAGGGTTTTTTGGGTTTTTTCCCCCACTCGAGATAGCAAATAAGTGGCCGGTAATAAACGCATTCCAACCAGCATATTTTTTTATTCATTGCCTAAATCTATGCGAACCAGAAGAACCATCTCTACTGTCTTTTCTCAAATGAGATCAGCAAGTCCTTTTTATTTTAACATTAAAATCATTCCACTGTGATGGATAGCCTGACTCAATACCCTAGACTTGGAAATTGACATCTAAAAAAAAACGCAACTAAGTGGTTAATAGTGTGTGATGTTCAGAGTTGATGCAAACTGGAAAGGTTGTGTGTGGTTGCTCTTTGCTTTTTGGTTAGGTTTTGGTTGTTTTGTTCTGTTTTTTAATTTTATACTTTCAAATAAACTTGCAGTTTTCACTCTTTCTATTGGTGTGGATGGTTCTTAACCTGCTTTTCTCCTCTATGAGGACGTAGCGTGGACAGCCACTTCTGTCACGGCTTCTGCAGTGACTTTATGCCGTAAGAAAATGAGGAAAAGGAGAAGTATCTTGATGGGACCTCAAAATAGGGAGGGCATTTAAAGATCCACAGCTTGTGTGGCTGGGATGCGAGGTGAAGTCATGACACCATGGGCCCGGGATGTCAGCTCAGATGGGCGTGAACTTCCTTCACGGTGGTGCTGTTGGGGAGAAAAGGGCAGGTGACTGAGCGCCGATCTGGTCACATATTCAGGGGCACACTATCGCTCTTGCACAGATGTGCCAGTCATTAGTTTTGAACCACGAATGGCTTAGACTGGCCCCGCTAGTGATGGGGACATCTTTGTGCTCGTCTGGGTTGAGAACTACGTGCTGACTGATGCTGCAGGGACAGTTGCACAGGAAGTCAGGATGCCCAGAAGGTCACCATCACCACCCATGAATGGGAGAAGTAACCCTGGCCTTGGCCAGAGTTCAAACCCGTATGGGAACCTAAACACAGGACCTACAGAACCAAGGTTTAGATCATGTGTTGGTGCCCAGGTTTCTCAAAAAGAAGAATAGGCTATCAGATGGTGCTATCCCAACTGTCTGCCAGGTCATGTCCTGCCCCAAGTGGTCTACAGTAGACCTTCCCAAGCAGTATGCTCAAAACGTTTGTCAAGATATGAGCTCGTTTGTCTCTCAGGGTACCATTTTTTATGGGTGTCAGGATGAGGAAATGATTGAGAAGCACTAATCTAGAGCAGGGATCAGTAAACTTTTTGTGTAAAGAGCCAGAAGCCATCCCAGTGGTCTAGTGGTTAAGATTCGGCGCTCTTAACTGCCACAGCCCGGGTTCGTTTACCAGTCAGAGAATGACACCAACGTCGGTCGGTTCTCATACTGTGGTGGCTACATGTTGCTGTGATGCTAAAAGCTGTATCACCCGGATTTCAAATACCAGCAAGGTCACTCATGGTGGACAGGTTTCAGTGGAGCTTCCAGATTGAGACAGACTAGGAAGAAGGACCTGGCCACCCACTTCCAAAAAAACTGGCCATGAAAACCCTATGAATAGCAGCAGGGCATCATCTGAAATAGCACCAGAAGGGGAGAGGATGGCGCAAAAAGGCCAGATAGAGCTCTGCTCTGCTGTCCACAGGGTTACAAAACTAAAAGGGCCAGATAAATATTTTTGGCTTTAAGCTATATGGTCTCTGTAGCAACTACAAAAGCAGCCGTAGACAGTACATCAATGAATGGGTGTGGCTGTGTTCCAATAACTATTAACAAAAATAGACAACTGGCTGGATTTGGCTCACAGGCTGTCATTTGCCAACCTCTGATCTGAAGGATCGTTCCCACATTGTGTTCATGGATCCACAGCCAGGGGTGTTTTAGAAAAGAAACAGTACGTTAATGGCCTGAAATACTAGAACTCTTGAAATGGCACCAACCTCAAAAAAATTATAAATAGAAGAACTTACGAAGCAAGCAGTTCAAGGACCTATGAAATTAATTCTCATTGACCCAGTGAATGAGAAAATACAGAGTTAAGACAAGTAGAGGCTTTCCTGATGAGGCCCTAAACAGTTGGGTTGAATGCAGAGGTCCTAGTCAAAAAACTAGTCTCACTAGGCATTCTCTGAGATGATGACACACAACAGTCTGTCTTTTAGAGAAAAGTCCACGGGGATGAGTGATCTGAGAGGTATTGTCTGTCCTCTCCATTTAGCTTGCCACTCGGGCAAGGCAGTAGATTCAAGAGTAAACTCTATGAGAAAGAAGGAGCTTCAGATGGCTGCAGGGGAGGGGTAGTAAGTGTACATAAGGAAAGGAAATGCACCCCGTGAGACCCTTGGGAGAAATGTCAGTGAGAAAATATGCAGACTCCGTTGACATCCATAGTTATGCAAGTTCATGGGAACATTAATAGAACCCCCAGTTGTAAGTGACGAAAGTCCAACTGATACAAGCTCAATTGTGTTAAACTTCAGAAGATGCATTGGCTGATGCAACCAAGTCCAAGGGTATGGAACTGTTGGCTTCAGGCAGGGCTGGATCCAGTTGTTCAACAACTATCATTAGGAATCTAATTCTCCCTCTTTAGCTTCTCAGCCCTGCTTTGCTCAGTGTTGGCTTCATGGCTTTACGTTAGGTGTAAGAGAGGGTCCCAGAAGATCCAGGTTCATGATCTCAGAGAAAGAGATACTGACTCTCCGAGACTCTATAGAAATTCTCTTAAATGGACCTGGATTGATCATCCTTGACGTATGGCCATTACTGTGGGTGGAACCAGTCTCTTGATTGACAGCCCCACCTGAATTACATGGAGTGGGAAGGGGACAATTCCCACACGGAAGGAGTTGGTAGTAGACAAAAATACCAATATATCTACTGTAGAACCTCACGAAGGAATGGGACCCACACTGGCTGGCATGATTTCTAGCAGACATAAGAAAACAGCATACAAATACAAGCTTCAGGCAACACAGCCAGGTCTGAAAGGAGCAGAGGCAATGTTACAGTGAAAATTTCA